TATATATATCTTTTTATATATATACACACACATACCCAAATACATACATATATACATATATACCTATTGTATGTCTCCCATTGCTGCTATCAACATATAATAATAATAATAATAAAAGAAACAGTCTGCAATATTGTAGGTGCGATTTTCTGTATGGATCATTAACTGTGTTCCTCCCAGCGTCCCACTATAGGAAAAGGGACAGGTCCTATCTTAATAAGATCCCTCTATATATATGTGACCTATAAGTGAGGAAATGAGCCTCCCATGTGTATGTGACATATTTGTATGTAAGAGGGCAGATGCCCAGTAAGTGGTGTAACGTGTACCACAGTAACTTCTCCCACATGGCAGAAAGGAAGGCAAAAACAACCATGCCGTCAATTGAGTAGACCATGGGTGGTCTTTAGTTATTTATTCTGTGAGTCCCCGTGTCTATTCTGGCCCCCCACAGTACGGACCCCGAGTGTTGTGGAGGTGGGGTTGGAGGGACCAGAAAAAAGAAGTTGAAACTCACAGTTTACAGTATACCCGAGCTTGGGGCAAAGCAGAAGCGTGTTGCCGACTGTGGACCGCAAAGACTGCGCACCGGAAGTACAAGGACCGTGACCCGGAAGTCGTGAACCGGAAGTGATCCAATGCCAAACGTCAGATTTCCAGAGTGATGCAGGTAAGGGGGGAGTCCCTTAAGTAGGTTCAACATGCTTCTCCCACAACTCCAGGCAAAGCCTTTACATATATAATATAAATAAAAATTTTAAAATAGTATACCATTATGGGGTTATTTCACATTCTTGGGCTACCATATGGTCTAAAAAAGGCAACACAGACCCAGCAAACCATTCTGGCAAATTGAATTAGGCAAGCCCTATATTGACCCTGTAACTTTCCAATACACCATAAAACCTGTACTTGAGGGGTACTTTTGTACTCATGAGACAGTACTCTACACAAATATGAGTGTTTTAGAGCAGTAAAATGTATTATACTGATAATATCATCGGGAAATGTCAATTTACGTGTGAAAAATGCAAAAAATACAAATATAAATGCTAATTTTGGCCAGGTTTTGTGACTAAGTGGATACTAAAAAAGACTGTACATACCCAATTTTGAATAACGTGGGTTGTCTACTTTTGCAAATGGTATGCCATGATGGGGCTGCTATACGGTCTCAAAGGCAACATTGGCCCAGCAAACCAATCTGGCAAATTTCAATGTGCAAACATGGAAAAGGGGAAAGCCCCACATTTGACCCCTGTTAGTTTGTAAAAAACCATAAAACCTGTACATTGGGGGCACTGTTGTACTCAGGAGATGTTGCTGAACACATATTGGGGAGTACTTTGTCAATAACACATAACAGGAACTGAGAATCCATACCTAAAGTACAATGTAAGAGAAAATAACACAAACAAAATGACTACCCAAATGTTTGACAAAGACTGGTGGTAGAATAAGTGCATGTAAAGTGTTAAAATACCACCATTTTAAATACCCTAGGGTTTCTACTTTTCAAAAATATATGGTTTGATGGGGGTAAATTACATTGGCCAGCTTAAAAAATTTCCCAAATACAACATGGGTGGATGATGACCAGCTGTGAAAAGTCCAAGTTGGAAAACTGGAATATTCACCCTCCAAATAAGGTCTCTTAGCCCTCAGAGAAAACAACACATATCTACATTAGAGATGTCGCGAACCGTCCGCGAACTTCTCGCGAACGGTTCGTCACGGTTCGCCACGAACCGTTCGCGGCGAACTCCGGTCAGCTGACACATCCCAGCCAATCTCCAGCAGACCCTCCCTCCCAGACCCTCCCACCTCCTGGACAGCATCCATGTTGAAGCTGCCTTCAACATGGATGCTGTCCAGGAAGTCGGAGGGTCTGGGAGGGAGGGTCTGCTGGAGATTGGCCGGGATGTGTCAGCTGACCGGAGTTCGCCACGAACGGTTCGTGGCGAACCGTGGCGAACCGTTCGCGAGAAGTTCGCAAGAAGTTCGCGGACGGTTCGCGACATCTCTAATCTACATGGGTGGTATCGCTGTACTCGGGAGATTTTGCTGAACACATATTGGGGTGTAGTTTGGCAGTAACCCTTAAAGTTCACAGTACATGTATTCTTAAATTGCTATGTGTGTCAAAAAAATCACCAATTATTTAATTCTTTTAAAATTTGTCATAGATGGTGATAAAATGGTTGCATGAAAAGATTCAACATAGCCCAAGTTTAATACCTTAGGTTGTCTTCTTTTAAAAAATATATACATGTGAAGGGTTATTCAGGGATTCCTGACAGATATTAGTGTTACAATGTAACGTGCGTTTATTTTGAAAAAAAAAAGAAATTTGGGGAAATAGCAAAGTGCTACTTGGACTTTTTGCCCTAAAACTTGCACACAAAAAAAAGCTAAGAACATATTAACATTGGGTATTTCTAAAATCAGGACAAAATTTAAAAACTTTTTAGCATGGGTGTTTTTTGGCGGTTGTAGATGCGCAACAGATTTTGTGGGTCAAAGTCCAAACAAAATGTGTTTTGGTTTTTTTTACACTTTTTCATCATATTTTATAGTTTTTTTATAGTAAATTATATAATATGATGAAAATAATGGTATCTTTAGAAAGACCATTTAATGGAGAGAAAAACGTTATATAATAAGTGTGGGTACAGTAAATGAGTAAGAGGAAAATTGCAGCTAAACACAAATACCGAAGAAATGTAGGAAATCAGGATCAGGAAAAAAAAACTAAATTTTTCTTCAATAATTAGCAGATATTGGCAATTAAATGACTAGATATTAAGTGTCAAAATACCCTTAGGTAAATAGTCTGTGATGTCTACTTTATATAAATACAGTAGTAATCAAACATATTTAACCTCCATTGGAAATCAGGTTTATTGTCAACATTTACAGAACTTTAGCTGTATGTAATGAACAAATGAAACAGAAGCAATTTAAATTGATCAACACAATAAATGCATCCGGTGATTGTCACAAATTCAACTGAAAATTCAACTTATATTGAATTATCCAGTCTCAAAATTATTCAATCCAGTCATGGCAAGCATCTTTAGTACTTGCTGTTTTGACCTGCTGCAAACGAGATGGATAGCCTGACACCAGCTTCTGGCAGTGTTCCTTAGGAATCTTAGCCCATTGCTCATGAGCAATAGCCTCCAGTTCAGTAATATTTGAAGGTCCTAGGGCTGGACTGCGCGCGCTAGGGCTGGGCTGCCCTAGGGCTTAGGATGGAAATGCCCCTTTGAAGGCTCTGAGCCTTCGAAGGGGCATTTCTGTCCTGCGCGTGCAGCCCAGCCACACACGAGACACGTGAGCCAGGAGACCAGAATGTGAGACCGGATCAGATGAGGATTGCCTCTAATTACTGTTCACTGAACAAAGGAATACTCTTTGAACCTCTCTCTTCAAATAGATGATTAGACATCTGCCTACAAGTGAACAGATTTCACTCCATGGTCCACTTCTACAGCATTCTTAACCTGTGGTGAGATCCAACCAATTTCATCAAACAAGCAGTGCATTATTTGCAGTCTTTTGAACTTTACAGTTTTTTCATTTTGCCATTCTTTCTTTTTTATCTGTTTTCCCCTTTTTTCACTTTTTTTTCATTTATTTCTAATTTTTTCTGTTTTTTGTTTTTTTGCCCTTTTTTGTTACAACAGAATATCAATTAGTGGTGGATCGACCTGAATTTTTATGAACTTTCAGCTTCATTCATATAGTGTTTATGCAGGGCCAGATTAAGAGCCCAGTGGGCCTGGTGCTGACAATTATGACGGGCCTAATTACAGAATCATATCGACCAAAAACAGTAAAACACTCCCAAGCATCATGTATCTGATGGAGATGGTGCTGGAGAGAAAGAAAACAGCAGCTATAAGAAAACACACAACCCTAGGCTAATCTCTCACTAATTTATGTTTTCATCTTTCAAGTAAATCCATAACCCCTAACAGCAGTGTCCAGTCAAGTAGGAAGTCAATAGGCATAGTAAAAGGGTGTGCCACTGACACAAATCACATAACCTGCCAAAAGGGGCGAACATGCCCAAAAAGAGGACATGTGTGCTCAAAGAATTAGAAGACCAGCCTGGCATGAATGCATGTCAGGCTGCCTGCCAATCATGCAGCTGGGCAACTAAGGGCATACTATGCAGACAGCACCCTGAGCTTGGCATAAATGCATCTAATGATGCGCTCACTCAACGCTTTCTAAGGACTGTCCCCTAGCACTCGCTGGTCCACTTGTCTCCTTACCTTCTTACTAGCAGGCAGAAGCTCCTGGTATATGGTCCGGGACAGAGAAAAGCTGTATGTAGTGAGTGTAGAAGAAAGGGAACATGCCACCGTGTTAGAGAGACCAAAGTCAGCATTACCACAAGCATGAATTCATGACCCTATAGTGTTAACACCACCATCTAGCCCCCCTGGGCCCCTCATGCCTCCATAAATATAGCAAAATCCTACTATATTCAAGCCTGAAGCTGTAACTCTGCATGCTGTTAGACTCATAAAAACAAGCAGTCTGCTGACATCATTAGAAGTGGTGGCCTGATCCAATCACAGTGCTTCCCCATAGGATTGGCTGAGACTGACAAAGAGGCAGATCAGGGTCAGAGCCAGCATGATTCTAACACAGCCCTGGCCAATCAGCATCTCCTTATATAGATGAATTTAATTAATGAATCTCTATGAGGAAAGTTCAGTGTCTGCATGCAGAGGGAGGAGACACTGAATGTTTGGATGCATTTTAGGCAGCCATGACCCAGGAAGGATCTCTAACAGTCATCTAAGGAGTGGCCAGTGAAGTTATCACTAGGATGTAATGTAAACACAGCATTTTCTCTGAAAAGACCATGCTTACAGCAAAAAGCCTGATGGTAATGATTCTACTCACCAGAACAAATTCAATAAGCTGTAGTTGTTCTGGTGACTATAGTGTCCCTTTAACTAAATTCATTGTCAGCCAGTCCACACAAGTTTACATCCCTCTTAAGTTTCCATACTTAAGTAAGAGTATGTGAAAAGTAGTTAGGGTTGCCACCTTTCTTGGAAAAACATACCGGCCTTACTAATTTATGTGTGGGTAACATCACATGATGTAAATCACAAGGAGTGACATAAGAGAAAATGCTGTAAAATCACCAAAAAACTATTTAGTTTAAATCTGCTGTAAAGATGGATTCCTCCCAGTGCCGCCATGACTCAGTGCCCCCATATGTCGATTACTCCAGGTCTCAGTGTTCCTATGTATCAGTGTCTCAGTGCCCCATGTCTCCCAGTGTCCCTAAGTGCCGTGTCCCCATGTCTCCCAGTGATCCTATGTATCAGTGTCTCAATGCCCTATGTCTCCCTGTGTCCCCATGTATCCCAGGGTCCCCATGTCACTAGGACACTAGGAAGACGGGGAGACCTGGGGAGACCTAGGGACACGGAGACACCAGTGACACTGGGAGACTAGGGGACTCTGGCTGGGACACATGGGGACAATGGGAAAATAGGGGACACTTGAAGACATGGGATCACAGACACCAGGGACAAAGATACTAGAGACACTGGCGGGGGGACATGGTGACATTGAGACATGGGGGCACTGGGAGACATGGGGACACTGAGATACCAGGGCCACAGACACTAGGGACACTAGCTTGGTGACATTGTGACACTTGAGGCACTGAGAGACATGGAGGCACTAGGAGACATGGGGACAGTGAGACACTGGCAGACTGGGGGCACTGGGAGAGTAGGGGTCACTGGAAGACTAGGGGTCACTGGGAGACTAGAGGCACTGAGACACCAGGGACACTGGCTGAGAGACATGGGGACACTGTGTCCCCATGTGTCTGTGTCATAATGTCTCCCAATGTCCCTTAGTGTCTCAGTGTCTGCCATAATGTCTACCAATGTCCCTTAGTGTCTCAGTGTATGTCTCCCTGCTGCCTTTCCCCCCATCCCTTACTTCCCTGAGCTGTAGGCTGTCTCTGCAGGGTGGGAGTTGCTGTCTGGACTCTCTGTAGCTGCACCCCTGCAGATCAGTGAGTATAGATAGGCAGGGAGGGATATGCTGGAATTTCCTATCCCTGCCTGTCTCCACATACAGCGACCCCTACTGGCCAGTGCTGGTATTGCATAGTAATCTCTTGTTTATACTGAGAAAAATACCAGCATTTGTATTGCCAGTATCACTGCAATATTGGCACCAGCCAGGCAGCCTCAAATACTGTCTGTGCTAATAAAATAAAAGCCAGGTGGAATCCCTAAGAGTAGTGTGTGAAAAAAAAATGTAAAAAAAAAAAAATTTTTTTTTTTTTTTTTTTTTAAATCAATGGGCCTATTCCATGGGCCTGGGCCTGGAGCTGCAGCTCCATCAGCCCCTATGTTAATCCGGCCCTGTGTTTATGGACTGTATATAGTTGTAAATAATTTGGATGTACATACTATGAAATTTTGTTACATGTATTATAGATGAATTCATAGAGGGATCATCAATCTGCATATTTGGCAGTAGTGGTCCTTTTCCCTTTTTTCTAATAATGATTTAGGATAGAAAGTGGCATGACTCTTGTCCAAGACATGTTGGGTTTTAAACAATACATCAATACATAATTAGATTTTCTTTGATGGGAACATAGTTGATAATTTAGGTCTTTTAGAAATGGGGAGCCAAATTAATTATTTAATAGATGTAATACTTAGTGATAAAAGTTCATTTGGAATGCTACTGCAGATTAAGGAATGAGTTTAATACATTTACTTTTTAAGAAGATTTGATTTATTGATTTTAGGTATATTCAATTTAACAATTGTCTTTAGCAATATAAATTGTAAATAATATTCCATAAAGTAAAGGTAGCTCCTGTTTACGATTGCTTTACATAGATCATTAGACTTCAGTAGAAATAATGAAATAAAGTAGATCCTGATTAGGATTGTATAACATAGTCCATTAGACTTCAGTGGTAAGAAGGAAATACAGTAGATCCTGATTAGGAAAGTATAACACAATCTTTTAGACGTTATTAGCAATTATGAAATAAACGTGGTAGACATTCATCAGCTGCTCAGGATACTTTCAACAAAGCAAATTGTATAAGAAGCAATATAGGATCCAAGAGGGAAGACTTAAGTATTCCCTTTTTTCCTTCCAAATAACTGTAAGCATGAACCAATTAATAATCCCAATAAACTAGAGATATTAACTTGATTGCTGTAGATGTTAATGAAGGAAGTGCTTTCTAGATTAGCGAAGATAGAGGTTCACTGAAGTCATTTGGGGATTAGAGGTAAAGATAGTCAAAGTCAGTTCCTGGTCTGGGAGATGAGAAGTCAGCAATGTAGGTATCAGGTATCAGAGGTTCGGTACACAACACAGCTTATCGAGAGAAGGAGCTCCGTTTGCACTTGGCAACAATTTGGTAACAAATTGATTGAGCGATTTGACAGCGCATGACGTCAGAAGCATGGGCGGAACTGGATTGGCGAAAACCCGGAAGTCATTACAGGTGTACGCCGATCAGACAGAAATAATAGTGGAAATCATGACAATAGAGTATGAGTGTAATGTTTCTGTTTCCATCTCTAACCATCTTGGTTTATGTAAATCTAAATTAAATGTAATAGCAGCTGCTTCATTGGCTGCATTATAGTACTTTTTGAAATCAGGCACCCCCAGGCCTCCCCAACCCTTCAAGATCTGCAGAACCACTAACTTGACCCTGCACATTCTGTTCCTCCAGATAAATCCAAGAAGATCCGAATGTATCTTCTTAAAAAAAAAGACAAGGGAACACTTAAGGGTATAGATCTTATAAAATATAAGACTTTAGGGAGAATATTCATTTTGATGGAAGCTGGGGGGCGGGGCCTGACCTGCAAACTGAACGGCCGCATGGCAGAGGAGCTCCCAATGCCAAAGCGAATTTTGGGGATATGCTTACTAATCTGAAGACAAAAAAGATGCCGGGGTATGCTACCCATGCCGGGGGCACCCTGTCAAAGCGCCTAATACAGGACTCAAGCATGTCCCACAAGCACGAGCCTGAAGAGGCCCATGGCGACCCGAGGTGGATGGGACTGGGGGGGGGTGGCCGCTCCCCTTGCCTCCAAGCCAGGGGTGCTGTGCCACTGAATGCCCGCTTCCCACAGGACCGGCGGGGGTGATCCCGGTCCAATCCCTCCAGACGGAATGGCTACGGCAAACGTGGATGGCGGGGTCTAACACGCAGATCCCAGTCGCACAAGCCCACACAATGGCGGACGCCACGTACAACTGCAATGGCGGCAGAGTGGGGACTGATGTCCTGGAGAGGCTGGACGCAATCTTTGATGCCTTTTGGGCAAACCTGGCACACAGAGAGCGGCAAACCAACATACAAGCTAACCCACCCAGAGACAGATCCGCTCGTGCCGGCCGCAGCATCTCCAGCTCGGAGGCAACCACAAGATGACGCCGAAGACGGAGACTTCACCCGCATGCCCACAAGCAACTGAAACTAGCAGAGCTGATAACTCGCAGGGACAAGCAAGCCCCAACTCACCCTTACAGGGCACCGAAACCCGTCAGGCAACCTTCCAGAGGCAAACTACCAACAAGGCACCAGAATCTGTTAACATCAGGGGGAGTCCCAGAATCCAAGACTGGAGCACAAACTACCCACAACGAAACCATAGGTACCCACACCGACAAACGAACGGGCCCAGCATCAGACCTAATGCAACTGGACCTTGTCTCACCCCAGCAGGACTTTCTTACCTTCCCAACGCTCTTCCCAACGCTGGGCATTGGCTGAGGGGGTACTCACTCCATGGTACAACACAGAGGTCACTGTCCGGAGCCACAATCCAAACGGACTTAGCCTAGACCCATTTACAGCCTCCTAAGCCGTGACCGACGACCCACACTGAACTCTAATGCCACAGACGAATTCCATACCGACAAGCCTGCCTGACTGGCGAGTCGCTCGATCCCCTTACTCCACTGTTGCCCGCGCCTCATAAAGTGCCTCCACGCAGCCATGAAGGTCCTATCACCACACTTTGTCCTCCTAATTTGGAGTACCAAATATATAGGACACGCAGCGAAGGTATAATCCAGCTAATTTAGAATTCGCTAGCATTGCTGATCATTTTATGCTTAGATTACACATGCTAGATTGCATGTTTATTGTACGTTTCCTGATGCTACATAACTGCACTAAACGTGCTTACACTTTAACAGTACGCTGAATAACTCAATGTTGAAGCTAATTGAAATATTTTACCATAGTAATCTTGTTTTACTCTTTCCTAACTAAAAAATGTGCCTGACTATTGATAACCACAACCTGTAACAAGAATGTGTATAATCATACTCTGATGTCGCTGTTGTGGCGCACCAGGGCTTGCTGTTCCTTCTGTGCACACCAAAATAAAGAATAAAAAAAAAAATATATATATATATATATATATATATACATACATTTTGATAGAAGCTATCCTCCCCAACCAGGATAACTCAAGTTCAGACCATCTTATCAACTCTTTTTTTAAGTTCTGGCCACAATTTGGCGAGGTTAATTGAATGCATGTTTGACAGGTTCTTGGTCAAATTAATTCCTAAATAAGAAAGAAATGACCTTTTCCAATCAAACTAGTATCCCTCCATCAATGTTTCCAGCACAGGCCTTGGAAGATGAAATGATAATGCTGGAGTTTTATGAGAATTTATTTTATAATACAATATTTTTCTGAATTCAAGTAAAATGTCGATCAATGGGCCCAAAGATGATTCTGGGTCACCAAGAGATAAAAATCACATTATCTGAGAATAGGCCCACCTTATGAACACCATCACCTTTTTTAATTCCCTTAATTTCAGTTGTCCCATGTATGGTCTCAGACAGGGGCTCCATAGCTAAAACAAACAATAATCGTGACAATGGACACCCCTGTCTAGTACCATTAGACAACAGGAATGTATCAGAAACAAATCCTGATGCATATACTTCTGCCGATGGTCTGCAGTACAGTGCAAAAACTGCATCAATAAAAGAGGAAGTTCATCCTGACCATCACCTCTCTCAGATAGCCCCCGTGTATTCTATCAAACGCCTTCTCAGCATCCAAAGATAGGAGAGAAGGTGTCTGATCAATTTTAATTTGGTGAATCAGATTAATGAATCTTCTGGTGCTTATCTGCCCATAACACATCCTACCTGGCAGGCCCGGACTGGCCATCGGGCACACCGGGCAAATGCCCGGTGGGCCGCCGTGGCCGTGGGGCCGAGGCCAGCAGGGGAGGTCACAGGATCTCCCCTGCCGGTCTATGCAGGGCCGGCACTATCCGAGCGCCGGCCCCGCTGTTTGCCATGGACGGCCGGTGGGGAGATCAAAGATCTCCCTCACCGGCCCATTTAAACAGACCTGCGGCTGGGGAGGGAGGGAGAGGACCCGGCGGAGCTCTATCTTGCAGCTCCGCCGGGTTTCTCTCGCGAGATCCGGAGCGTTGCCATGGCAACGCGCCGGATCTCGCGAGAGTGAACTCTAGCCTACAGGCTAGAGTTCACTAACCACTGGACCACCAGGGATGATGTGAGTGTGCCGGTCCCCCTCCTCCCAGCTACCACCGTGCCGGACCCCTCCCAGGCTAAAGGTAAAGGGGGGGGCAGATATAATGCATTTTTGTTGTTGTTTTTTTTTACCCTCCCAACACACAATCACTTTTAACATTCACACACAGCACACACAGCACTCTCACACACAGCACTCTCACACACAGCACACACAGCACTCTCACACACAGCACTCTCACACACAGCACTCTCACACACAGCACTCTCACACACAGCACTCTCACACACAGCACTCTCACACACAGCACTCTCACACACAGCACACACACACAGCACACACATCACACACAGCACACACAGCACTCTCACACACAGCACTCTCACACACAGCACTCTCACACACAGCACTCTCACACACAGCACTCTCACACACAGCACTCTCACACACATCACACACAGCACACATCACACACAGCACAGCACAGCACTTCACACACATCACACACATCACACACACACACACAAATCACACACACTGCACCCTTTAACACAGCACCCACATACAGCACCCTTAAACACAACATACACAGCATCTTCACACACAGCACCCCTCAAACACAACATCCATCACACACACATACTGCACCCTTCACATACACACTACACCGCTCACAGACACCCACTGCACCCCTCACACATACACGCAGAACCCCAACACACTGCACTAAACACACACACACTGAACCGCTCACACACATACTGCACCGCTAAACATATTACATTCCAGACACACACTATATCCCTTACCCAACTATGGATCATATACACACACTAAATCCCTATATACACTCTGATTCCGTTATATACACACACTCACTAGATCTCATACACATTCTGGGTCCTTCAAACACACACTAGACTCCTGTATACACACACACACTACATTCCTAACATACACACTTTGGATCCCTGATACACACACACTAGATTCCTTGTAAACAAACACATGCTACACCCCTAAACGCACACTCTCTACAACCCCTACAAACACTACATCACCTATATACACACACACACTATAGCCTGTGTGCATAAATTTACTACATCCCCTATACACACATTCTCTTCAGCTCCTAGCCACATATGCATTACATTACACCACAAACACAACACGACTAAAACCAACCTTATTACACAATACCAAACCACGACCAGCTCACTCTGCACACACACAATCCCAAAGCAGGCTCCAAACACATGCACAATACTCTTTCCTTGCCCTTTTGTCTCCTGGTATCCATTTATAGAGACACCAGAGACAAGTTTCAAGGAAACACAGTGCAAGCATGTTATTAAATTTGCTTGCACTGTGCAGAACAAATACAGGTTTTTTTTTCTTCTCATGCTAGAGCTCTTTAGCAGAGCTCTGCCCTGGAAGAGCATTGACCCAACACTCACTTTGAGAGGGGGCGTGTTTGTCTTTGGTGATGACGAAACACACCCTCTCTGCCCCGCCCCCTTCTTAGTGGGCCGCTGTGCTAAAAAAATGCCCGGGCTGAATTTTTTTCCCAGTCCGGCCCTGCTACCTGTTCATTGTTAACAAGTGAAGGCACAAATAAAGTCAATGGGTTCGATAATATTTTAGCATATAATTTAGTATCATTATTCATTAATGACACTGGGCGAAAATTAGAACATTTGTCTGGTGACTTCCCAGCTTTGGCAAAGTGATTATTCTGGCTTTTAAGGCCTGTTCTGGCATAACTCCCGCATGCCAATAATAGCAAAATAGTTTTGTCAAATGGGGCAAAAGTATTTCAGAGAATGTTTTATAATATTGCAAAGTAAAGCCATCTGGCCCAGGTGCTTTACCACTAGGGTTTTTTTCTATTGGCTTCTAAAATTTAATATGACGAGATAAAAGTTCAAAATCTTCTACAGGGTGTTGTGTCAATTGAATTTTATCCAAAAACATTTGTATATTATCTGATGATGGTTGGGTAATAGCGGTATACTTTTCCAAATTATAGAGGGATTTATAATATTTGGCAAACATGTTACTAATTTTAGTTTGGTGGGTTATTTTTTTTTCTGATTGTCACATAAAAATTCAATTCTTAATATACCCAAACACATCTTCGCTATGCTGGAGGTGCAAAGCTGCTGAGGGTACACTCATACATATATGGTAGAAATGTCCTAACATACAACCTCTCTGGACAGAGGTACATCGCACACTTCATACCCTCCGCGTGCCCACTCCACCCAGCTATCAGCGAGAGCCCGCGTGGGAGGAAGGAGAGGGAGTCAGAGTGGGAACTCTGACTCCCACCAGCCTTAGCCACCACTGAACACCAGGGAAAGTCACCCTCCTGCACCTAAAAGGTAGGAAACAGGAGTGTAACTTAAACATTTTGTATATGTGTGTTTTTGTTTCAATGTATGTGTTTGTGTGTGTGTCTCTGTGTGTGTGTGTGTGTGTGTGTGTCTGTCTGTCTCTGTATGTCTGTATCTGTGCCTGTCTGTCTGTATGTGTCTGTGTGTGTGTGTGTGTATGTGTCTTTGTATGTGTATGTGTCTGTCTGTATGTACGTGTCTGTCTATGTGTATGTATGTGTCTGTGTGTCAGTATGTATGTATGTGTCTGTCGGGAGGAGGAAGGGGCCATGGATCAGTTACGCACTGGGGCCCAATGGATTGTGTGTACACTACTGGTCATTAAAATAATTTTTCAAGATTTTTTCAGCTAAGATTTTATTCTCACCCTCTTAAATGAAATAATCACTCAGTTTCCATGACCTGTGTGGTGTCGTAGAAAATTCCACAGAAAGATGTCAAATGAATGGAGCATGATCAGACCAGCTGATAGGTAGAATATCAGATCTGGTTGCAAAGGG